GTGAGGTGTGACTTCCCTCTGAAAGCCTTACCACATTTGTTGCATTCATAAGGTTTCTCTCCAGTGTGATTTCTCTCATGCAAAGTGAGGTCTCACTTCGGTCTGAAAGTCTTTCCACATTTGTTACATTCAAAAGGTTTCTCACCTGTGTGAAATCTCGTGTGTCTCTGGAGGTTTGCCTTCCCAGGTGAAGGACTTTTCACATGTCTGACATTCATAAGGTTTCTCTCCTGTGTGTGTTCTCTGATGGACAGTAAGATGTGTCTTCGGGGCAAAAGATTTTCCACATATGTTACATTCATAAGGTTTCCCTCCTGTGTGTGTTCGCTGAAGCAAAGTGAGGTATGACTTTTGTATGAAAGACTTTCCACATTTGTTGCATTCATGCATGCATTCTCATCTTTGGGAGTTCTCTGATGCCTGCTGAGACCTGACTTCTGGGTGGAAAATTTCCTGCATTCCTCATATTCAAAGGGTTTCCAATCTATAGGTGATTGAGGTTGGAAAGTCAAGTCTGACTTATGAGAGAGAGAGTTTGTACATTGCTTATACTCATCGGACTTCTGTGGATATTTGCTCTCAGGTTTTCTAATGTGCATTTCCTTATTGAAAGACTTCTCACATTCATTAAATGTACAAGGATACTCTCCTTTGTACATTTTCTGATGTGTAGTGACTACAGGTCTTACGTAGAATGTTTTTCCACATAAAGTACATTCAGGTGTTTTCCTCCCTCCTTGAAGTATCTCTTGGGCAAGGAGAGCAGACTTATCATAGTCTTCTCTATATTCACTATGGTTATAGGAGGTCTCTCCCATACAGACCCAATTATGGCTAAAGAATATAGTCTCTGAGTTTAATACCTTCCCTTCTCCACCAAATTCAAAATACTGCAGCTCATTTGGACTCGCATAATTTTGACTAAAATACTCTGAATATCTGAAGGATTGTTCAACTACAGGAGACACACCAGTTGTATATGCAGCATGCATCTCATCAGGCTCACTATAGAGAAGCATGTCCTGACACTCAATGAACTCCTCAGTGCTCATCCCTAAAGAGTTCCCATTATTCCTCATCAGCTCAAGCTTATGAGTTGAGCCCAAGTTAAAGTTGTTATCAATCTCACTCTTTCTTCCACTGGGTTACTATTTGTGACTGCTACTTCACAAACACATTCATCTGGACCTTCCTGGCAGGTCTTAATCACCTCCTCCATTTCTTGGACATTTAAAATGTGTCAAAGAAAAAAAAGACAAAAACATAAATGAGATCCAAAGATTCCTTAATGTAAAGATGAAGACATTTTCTCTCATTCTGTTACAGATTTTCAATTATCAAAATAGGAATTAATTTATGATACATGATTTCTCCCTAATATATTAATTAAAAAATAATACTGATATTTAGCAATGGAAAATGTTTTTCTGTGTTTCAGTTTTTCTTTTTATATCAGAAGAAATATTTACTCAAATTATTCAACTAAGTACTGTGAAAGTCTTAAGCTGAACACTTAAAATTTGCCTTTAGTATTCTTGGGATTGTTTCAAATATTGTTTTGTTTGACCATAGGGGAATAGCTGCTTTGTGTTCTTTAATTTTTGGAGACTTGGCCCCTCCGCTGTCGCAGCCGCCTCCCCACCCCCCGGCCCGCCACGAAGCGGTTCACCATGGCCTGGCCCTGCCGAGCCAAGCGCCTCAGCCGCAGGTCGCGCGGAGCTGTGGGCACTGCGGCAGGAGCCGGCGCGAGGCGCTGAGGCGCCTCCGCAGGGCCGGAGGCAGCCACCGAGCGAGCGAGCGGGCGCGTGCTGGCGCGGCGATGTACCCAGAGGAGCGCGGCGCGGTGGGGCTGGGCGAGCTCCATTCCTGGTGGGAGGTGCCGGCCATCGTGCACTTCTGCTTGCTCTTCCGCACCACCTTTCGCCTGCCGGACTTCGAGATCGAGGTGAGAGGCGGGGACGCGCCGGAGTTCTGGAGCAAGGCTGCGGCGGCGTGAGGGTGGGGGCCGGGGCCAGGGCCGCCGGCGAGTGCGGGTGGCGCTCCACGTGCCGCTGGGACTTACGGCGGCAGCGCCCGCACGAGGTCCAGGGCCGCCGGGGAGCAGGGCAGGCGGGCGGGCAAGCGGGCAGCGCCGCCAGCCCCCTTGGGGCCGAGCCGGGGCCGCCTGGAGCTCGTCCGCCCCCAGAGAGGCAGCGGCGGCGGCGACGGGGCCTGGCCGCCAACTCCGGGCGGGGCGGGGGTGGGGGGCTCCTGGGGCCGCGGGGAAAGTCAGATGCCATCTCTTCCCACCAAGCCCGGCCTGAGGTGGGGGTGGTGGGGATGGCGCGGGGCTGGAAACTTGCGCGGCTTTTGTGTTGTGGGCGGTTGTTGTTGTTGTGTTGTTGTTGATGTTGTTGTGTTGATGTTGATGTTCCCCCCCTTCCTGCGCCCGGCCCGGCAGGGGAAGCCGTGCTCCTGGAGCCAGGGAGGCAAGCTCCGGCCCAGGGACCTGGGCGCTGGTGGCCCAAGCTCCCGGGGCACGCCGGACAATGTGGGGAAGTTGCTGGCTGCCTCTGGCAGAGTGGGGAGGGGGAGGAGAAAGAGGAGGGGGAGGAGGAGGAATGAGTGGGGGGAGGGGAGGGAAAGGGGGCTGTGGTACCAGGTGATTTTTCTAACGACTTTCCCTGTTCTTGGTGGGAGCCTGGTCACTAGAATCCGGGCAGCCAAGGCTCACGAGCCTGAAGTCCGCAGGAGGGATGGTTGGATGGATGGATGGATGGATGGATGGATGGATGGATGGATGGATGGATGGATGGATGGATGCATGGATGGATGGTTGGATGGTTGGTTGGTTTGTTTTCTGACAGTTACTCCCGAATGTTCTGAATTTCCTTAGTGGGTCAGCAGAAAAAAAAGACCCTGACAAAGGCCAGCGAATCAGGGCTGCGTCTCTCTATGGAGGCCGCCGGGCCCCGCACCCCGCACCCCGCACCCCCTCCTGGGGCTCCAAGAGACCATGGAGAGGACCCCTGGTCAGGAGAGCCTTTGGAGGGAAACGGCAGGCATCACCGGGTCCCCCTGCCCCCTTTTTGTGGATGGAAAAGAAGAGGTCAACTCATTTCAGCCTGAAGACAGCCATGCTCCCAGCAGTCTGGGAGTGATTTGTCCTGTGTCCTACACGTGTGTGGGTTCTGAGTGTTAGCGGGCTCACTTCCTAAAGAGAAATGCAGATTGTTTGAAGAGGTCAAGTATATTTAAAGGAGAAATGAGAAGTGATTGTAGCTTACACAGTGACTGGTGCAGACACCCGAAGTGACCGTTTCTAATTCTAGTCTTCCTTGGGAGTAACTTTCTTTTCACTTAAAATATATGCAATTTGAAAAACACCTCAGATACCTATTTAGATTCCAACATGTATGCCCTGTAAGTATTCTTCACACTTCTTTTTCTTTGGAGACGTTAGGTAACCTACTTACTTAATGCTCTGGTACTTGTATCTCTATCGTAGATCATGTGTATTTATTTTGATATGCCCCCCTTTGTGTGTGTGTGTGTACGTGTGTGCACGTGTGCGTGTGCACGTGCACGCACACCCACACCCCTGAGCTGCTGCTTTTTTTTTTTTTTGGCTCAAGGCTTGTATTCTACCCCTTAAGCCACAGCTTCATTTCTGACTTTTGGTATTTATTGGAGATAAGAGTCTTCTCACAGACTTTTCTGACCAGGCTGCTTCAAACCATGATCCTCAGATCTCAGCCACCTGAGGAGCTAGGATGATGGGCTATATGGCTATATTTTAAGTAGAGATTTTTTTTTTCAAAAGTTGAGAAATGTTAAATTAGTTGTCTACCAAACTTGACTCAACTGTGAAGAACTGAGGACACTAATCAGTTTGATTCAGTGTAATTGATTCTCATTTTTCTTAGGTAATTAAAAAATATCAAATAGTTTATTGGCCTGACTTTAAGAAAAAGTTTGGCTGGGAATGTGGCTTAGTAGTAGAGTGCTTGCCTAGAATACATGAAGTCCTGTGTTTGATTCCTCAGCAACACATAAAACAGAAAAAGCTGGAAGTGGTGCTTTGGCTCAAATGGTAGAGTGCTAAGTCTTGAGCAAAAGGAAGCTCAGGGACAGTGCCCAGGCCCTGAGTTCAAGCCCCAGAACTGGCAAAGAAAGAAAGAAAAGATTCCTAGGTTAGGTCCTAGGCCCTACAGTGGTAATGTATAGCAACTTGAAAAGATAGAAATGGTGGGCTAGGAAGGTGGCTCAGTGGTAGAGTACTTGCCTTGCATGCCTGAGGCCGTGGGTTCGATTCCTCAGCGCCACATAAGCAAAAAGAAAAAAGCCGAAGTGGTGCTGTGGCTCAAGTGGCAGAGCACTAGCCTTGAGCTGAAGAGCTGAGGGACAGCACCTAGGCCCAGAGTTCAGGCCCCACGACCAGACCCCTCCCCGCAAAAAAGATAGAAATGGTGAATAATACCAGGTAGAAGTTGGATATCATTTCTTCTCTAATGGGGGCTTGAACTCACAGCCTCTCAATTTCTTTCCTCACTGCTGGAGCTCTAACATTTGAGCTCTGCCTCCAGCCTGGCTTAAAAATTTTTTTTGGTGTCATTCTTGTGGTTTGAATTCAGGGCCTGGGTGCTGTCCCTGAACTTTTGTGCTCAAGGCTAGCACTCTGCCACTTGAGTCAAGGCTCCCCTTCAGGCTTTTTGGTGGTTAATTGAAGGTAAGAATCTTACAGACTTTCATGCCCTGATTAGCTTTTATCGGTGATCCTCAGATCTCAGGCCCCAGAGTAGCTAACATGTCAGCCTGGCATGGCTATAGGAGAAAAGAGTCTACCACTTGAGCCACAGTGCTACTTCTGGCGTTTCCTGTGTATTTGGAACCGAGGAGTTGAACCCAGGGCTTCATGCATGGTAGGCAAGTGCTCTACCACTGAGCCACCTTCCCAGCCCGTGTTTTGTTTTATTTTATTTTATTTTATTTTAAAGGAAGCCAGTTTTCACCTGTGGGACAGATCTCTTCCTCTCTTTTTAACTCTTGATCACCTGGCTGAACATTTGGATTTATAGAATCTTCAAGGCCTTGGCTTCTGTTTTTCTTTTTTTTGGGTCCGGTCGTGGGGCCTGAACTCTGGGCCTAGGCACTGTCCCTCAGCTCTTCAGCTCAAGGCTAGCGCTCTACCACTTGAGCCACAGTGCCACTTCCGGCCTTTTTCTTTTTGCTTATGTGGTGCTGAGGAATCGAACCCAGGGCCTCAGGCATGCAAGGCAAGCGCTCTACCACTGAGCCACCTTCCCAGCCCTGAAGAGCTGATGTTTTTATATTGGCATGCTAAAAATATTTTTACTTCGTTAGCAGCCTTGAATATAGAGGATTTCTTCAGGAAAGGCAACATACTTTTTTTTTGCCCTAGTGCTGGGAGCTGGGAGATTGGACACATGGTCTCATGCTAGCGAGGCTTCTACCATTAAACTCCTTAGCCTCTTATCATTTGGAGATTTTTTTTTTTGGTTGATCATGGAGCTTTCCACTGTGGGCCTGGGTGCTGCCCCTGAGCTAAAGGCTAACGCTGTACCACTTTGAGCCACAGCGCCACTTCTGTTTTCTGGTGCTTAATTGGAGATAAGAGTCTCAGAGACTTTTCTGCTCAGGCTGGCTTTGAACTGTGATCCTCATATCTCAGCCTCCTAAATAGCTAAGATTACAGGTGTGAGGCACCAGCACCTGGCTTGGAGATATATCTAAGGACTTCAATGTTTCTGTGCCCTAAATAAAGTGTTTGTAATTATCAGTCCAGAAATCTGTGAGTGTACGGTTAATGATCCTTTGCATTGTTTAATTGTGGTTTAAAAAATAATAACATAAAATTGCCAGGTGGTAGTGGCTCATGCCTGTAATCCTAGCTACTCAGGAGGCCGAGATCAGAGGATAGTGATTCAAAGCCAGCTGGGGTAGAAAGTCCATGCAACTCTTATCTCCAATAAACTATTTTAGAAAAGGGGGGCAGAGGCTAGAAGTAGAGCTTCGACTCAAGTAATAAGAGTCCTGACCTCAAGCAAAAGAAGGTTAGGGATAATTGCCTGAGCCTTGAGTTCAAGTCCCAGTATGGGCACACATACAAATGAATAAAATTATATAAAGCTTGAACATTATAGGAAAAAAACGTAAAAATTTGAAATAACCCACTATCACCCATGAGATTAAAAACTTGTAACATTGTAGCCTATTGCATATTTATAAGTTCCTAAATATATTCACAGTGTATTTGTATCATACAGTAAGTATTTTTTCAGAGGAGACTGAAGTATTCGGGTGGTTAATACAGTGGATTAGTGACACTGAATTAAATCGTTGGCATCATTAAGTACCTACTATGTGCTTTATATAGAAGTAGATAATATCAGTTAGGCTCATAACGGTCCTGTCAGAAGATTGGCAGTTAATAAGTAGATCAGAGCAGGGTGCTGGTGGTTCATGTCTGTAATCCTAGCTACTCTGGAGGCTGAGATCTGTGGATCTCGGTTCAGAGACAGTCCCAGCATGATAGTCCCTGAAATTCTTAGCTTCAGTGTACCACCAGAAAACCGGAAGTGGAGCTGTGGAACAAGTGGTAGAGCGCTGGCTTGTGCTAAAGAGCTGAGGGACACCGCCCATGCCCAGAATTCAAGCCCCAAGACTGACCAGAAAAAGAAAAAACTAGCTCAGAGCCACAATTGTTTGTTTATTTTTTGTTCAGGGGCTTGGGTGCTGTCCCTGAGCTTTTGTACTCAAAGCTAGTGCTCTACCACTTTGAGCCACAGCTCTACTTCTGATTTTGGGGTGGTTAATTGGTGATAAGAGTCGCATGGGGGCTGGGAAGGTGGCTTAGTGGTAGAGCGCTTGCCTTGCATGCCTGAGGCCCTGGGTTCAATTCCTCAGCACCACATAAGCAAAAAGAAAAAAGCCGGAAGTGGCACTGTGGCTCAAGTGGTAGAGTGCTAGCCTTGAGCTGAAGAGCTGAGGGACAGCGCCCAAACCCAGAGTTCAGGCCCCACGACCGGACCCCTCCCCCCCCCCAAAAAAAAGAGTCGCATGGACTTTTCTGCTTAGGCTGGCTTCAGACTATGATCCTCAAATCTCATTCTTCTGAGGAGCTAGGATTATAGGTGTGAGCCACCCGGCTTGTTGCCCAACTTGTATACTATTTAATCTAGCATTGTGTAATTGCTTAATATTTTATTGGTTAGGTTGGCTAAGTTTTGTTGACTCCAAAGAGAAAAGTTAATTGGTCTCTTCTTCAAAGGTTTAGTACTTTCCCCTAACCAAGTGGTCTTCTCAGAAACTAGTGCCTTACTTGATAAGGGAGATTTTTCAGTGGTCTGATCCAAGGGAACTGGAAATGTTCATGTAGAATCATTTATGTAGTTCTTATGGTAGCAGGATAATGAAAATTAATTGATTGCTTTCTTGTATCTTTTAATGAGCTTCTTGCCTTTGAGAACCTAATTTTTAGGTTTGCTGTGTCTCTTTCTAGTTCTTTCTTCTTTTTTGGTTAGTACTGTGGCTTGAAGTCTGGGCCTTGAATCTTAACTAGGCTTTTTTGTTCATGGCTGGCTCTCTATCAGTGGAGCTGGTGAATTGGAGATAAAAGTCTCTTGAACTTTTCTGCTGGTATATCTGGTTAGCTTGTAATCTTGATTCTCAGCCGGCAGTTTCTTGAGTAACTAGGGTTATATTTGTGAGCCACTGGTTGGTGTTGGGCTCTGATTGTGGTTTTATGTGGTTTAAAGTCCCTTACCTAAACCACATGATCACCTGAGTATAATATGCTGAGTCCTGAATGTTATACTTGGTCTTTCCTTGGATTACCTCCTTACTGGGAGCACAAGCCATGAATTTGCACATTAAAATAAGTACTGAATGTGGCTCAGTGGTAGAGTGCTTGCCTAGTGTGCATGAAGTTCTAGGTTCCACTCCTCAGTTCCACATACACAGAAAAAGCCAGAAGTGGTGTTGTGGCTCAAGTGGTAGAGAGCAAAAGCAGCTCAGGGACAGTGCCCAGGCTCTTCAGTTCAAGCCCCAAGACTGGCTCCTTAGTTTTTGCCCACCCCCCTCCCCCCAAAAAAGACTAAAGTTAAGAGGAACTTAAAAATACAATCAACAGTTCCTAAACATGGTGCCAAAGGATGAGCGGTAGATTTTTGAGTTCGTATACTTATACACAATCTGCTGGCAGTATGTTTGTGGTTTAACATTTTAATCAATTCTGAAGGAGGTTCTTCAATCAAAGGTTTAAGAGGCCTCAAATACAGGAAATAATAAGTGAGCCCTGATTAGGGTATTCATTTCATGATGACTAGATTTAGTGGACTGAGTGAGGAAACGTATTTTTTTTTTCCTGGCAGGACTAGGGATCAAGAAAGAAGGTCTGTAGTGTACTAGATAGGCAGGTGCTGTACTGTTGAACTGCACTCCCAGGAAACTATTTTAATTGAAACATACTGGCCTTTGTTTTTGTACTGGTGCTGGGTGCTGCCTCTGAGCTTTTCTTGCTCAAGGCTGGTGCTCTACCACCTGAGCCTCACAGACTTTCCTGCCTGGGCTGACTTTGAACTATGATCCTCAGATCTCAGCCTGCTTTGTAGCTAGGATTGCAGGCATGAGCTACCAGAGCCCAGGTGTCCTGTCCTGTCTTGTCTCTGTCTTTCTCCTCTCTTTCCTCTTTTCCCTCCCTCTCTCTTCCCTCCCTCCCTCCTTCCCTTCCCTCCTCTCTCCCCCTCTCCTCCCTTTCTTTCCTTTTTCTTTTGTGTATGCTGGTACTGGAGCTTGAGCACTGTCCTTTAGTATTTGGCCACAGCTGGCACTCTACCACTTGAGCACAGCTCTACTTCATGGTTTTTGGTAGTTAATTGGAGATGGGTCTCACAGTCTTCCCTGTCCTGGCTGGCTTTGAACTATTATTCTCAGGCCTTAGCTTCATGGGTAGCTAGGATTATAGGCATGAGCCACCAGTACCTGGCCAGAAGATCTTTTTTAAGCCTTCTACTGAAACTGAGTACAGGGGCAAGATCATGTTTCTTCTCTCTCTTGTGCTTGTTCTCTCTCTCTCTCTCATTCTCTTCCTCCCTCCCTCCCCTCCTGTCTCCCTCCCCTCATCTCCCTGACCCCTCCCCTCTCTCCTGTCCCCCTATCCCTGAGCTCTTTTGCTCAAGGCTAGCTGTCTTCCACAAGGTGCTAGTGGCTCACACCTGTAATACTCAGGAGGTTGAGATCTGAGGATCAAGGTTTGAAACTAGCCCAGGCAGGAAAATCTGGGAGATTCTTACCTCCAGTGAACCACCAGAAAACCAAAATGGTAGAGCTCTAGCCTTAGGCAAAAAAGATCAAGACAGTATGGGAGGCCCAGAGTTAAGAAGCTTCACAATTGATTTAAAAAAAAAAAAGTCTCCTGGACTCTCCTGGATGAGGCTAGCTTTGAACTGCCATCCTCAGTTCTTAGATTTCTGAATAACTAGGATGATAAGCATGAGCCACCAGCATCCAGCTGAGTTCCTATTTCTTTGGTTGTTGTTGTTGTTGTGGTTAATCTTGGGGCTTGAACTCAGGACCTGGGACACTGTCTCTGAGCTCTTCAGCTCAAGGTGAGCGTTTTACCATTTGAGCTCAAGGTGAGCATTTTTACCACTTGAGCCACAGCACTACTTCAGGTTTTCTGGTGGTTCCTTGGAGATCAGAGTTTCATGGAGGGGCTGGGAATGTGGCTTAGTGGTACAGTGCTCGCCCAGCAGGCTTGAAGCCCTGGTTCACCTCCTCAGTACCACAGACAGAAAAGCTGGAAGTGGCTCTGTGGCTTAAGTGGTAGAGTGCTAGCCCTGTGCCAAAGTTGTTCAGGGACGGTGTCCAGGCCCTGAGTTCAAGTCCTAGGACTGGCAAAAATAAAAGTCTCATGGACTTCCCTGCCTGGACTGGCTTTGAACTGTGATCTTCAGACCTCTGACTCCTGAGTAGCTAGAATTACAGCAGGGAGAGTTGATGTTTCTTTC